TACTTTTAAATTTTTCTTAACCATTTTTCATCTTTAAGCAGCTTACACCATGGTACAGCAACTCATTCATAAGCACTGGTTGGTGTTTAAAGAACTTCTCAGAAATGGGTACAGATTTTAAAGGGATAAATATTTATTACACTACCCACTATTAGTCGTTGATACCTCTAACCAAAAGGATTAGTTTGTTCTGTCGACGTTCACTGACATAACACAATCATTTTTCAAGGAACAGTAGGTGGCTGTACCCTTCATTCTGCTGAACACATGGTGGAGGGCAAAAATTATTATTAGCCCTCTGTTCCCAGTATGCTCTTCACTAAGCAGCACTTCCTCTTGTCTGAAAACATGTAAAAAACATTCTTCCCCTTGGAAAAGATTTAACCCAGTGTACTTGAGTTAGAACTGAACATAACTTTCAAGATAACCACAGCCACTGACTTTAGTGAAAATTGGAGGTCATCACTGTAAGCATTTTGAAAATATGCATGATGGTCTACTTATCAAGAAGTTTACTACATGACCATGCTATGAAAAGTTAAGGGGGGGAAAATGCTAATTATTATGAGCAGTTTAGCCATGTCATTCTGGTAACACAAAAACTGAGTAGTGAATGTCACGACGCCATCTGCAAACTGACTCTTTCAGTCTGTCTCATACTGTATACTAATTCAATAGCTGAATGGCAACAGTCATTTCTGCCAACATCTTTTTCATTTAAAGATTAAGAAAAAAAATTTCAGAAACTTTGATACACTTCGTGTGCCAGCTTCCATTTTCAAAAAGGATTTTAGGCAGTTATATGTCATTCCACAGACACGTAAATGTAAAATCTTGATAACATTTCCCCAAGCTCTCCTTCACATGAAAGTCTATATTCCTGCCTATGAAGTTCCCAAGTTCGACACATTCGCCTTCCTGTACACAGGCATCATCACTTAAGCACAGATGTTACTGAAAAATCTGGCAGATAAGCCTTCTTGCAGTTCTCAAAGTCCGCTGGCTGTGGCTCCTGTAAGATCTAATTGGAGAGGAATTCTCTTTATATATCTACCTGTCAGAGTAGATCTTAAAATAAAACAAGTGTGCAGCCTCTGTGCCACTTCCTTTATTTCCAAAAATCAGTTTTGCAGTAGTAAAGTTTCCCAACTTCTGCATTATAGGTTCACTATCATCATCTTTTATCTCATGAACTTAGCATTTTATACACAGTAACAATTCCAGACACAAGAGTTTAAGGCTGAGAAACTAACACCCTATGAACAAGGGGATCATAAATGTCATCTGAAAATTGATGGACCTGGAATCAATTCAGCTATAATCAGGCAGAGGGGAATCCGACTAGGGTTCCAACATTCAAAGTAAATACTTCTAACTACTTGGCCATTAGGGTCACTGTATCTTATGTAATAAAGTGCCAGCTGCTAGAGTGCATCTCCCACTACATCTAACAACCTCCCAGGAACGAAGTATTCTCACCATTCCCTGCTCCTTGCTCACGTTGCCAACATTTGATGAAGCCTATTCAGAAGAATTAGACATCTGTACCTCCTAGACCGAGGCTGTGAATTTCTCCAAAAAACTCAAACATTTCCACAGGTAGAACATACAAAACTTTACCTGATCAGCTGTTGTGACATCAGAAATTACAGCATCAGGGGGTCTCTTGGGTGGATTCACTGTTACCTAAAGCAAAATTAGTAATATTAATATTTCACTGCAAAAAACTTCTATCCGTACCCATGCCAGAATATGTCAGGTATGACTAAAAAGAAACAGCACTTACAAAACTGTTAAGGTTCCTCCTACCCTTTCTACATTTACATAAAAATAGGAAGAGATATTTAGGCCAGAAAAAGTCTCTTCTCAAGGTTAGCTTTACAAAGATAGTGATCCTGAGGCATCAGATGTTATAGCTGATCAATTTAATTACATTTCTTCCAAATTATCCAAAAAAAGCTCAGCAAGAATTATTCACCAAGAAAAAAAAAATTGTCTCACAGAACATTAGTGTTTTTGAACACAGAAATGAAAATGAAGCTTTTAAAATAATACTTTAGGAAGTGCAATCGAGTATAAAATTATTTACTACCTCACTCACAGACTACTCCACTTTTGGCCTTCAAGACCTTCCAGCTCTTTTTGTTTTGCAAGTTTTTCTTTTGTTTTTTGCAATTACATACCGCATATTAAGCCCTGCATTATCGTAAAAAAGCTGTTCCTTGTACAAGCTACAGCTTCGGATATAAATTTTATCAACAGACTGACAGAGATTATGACAAACACAAAGAACACCATAACCAATTCAAAACTATTAAAGTAGCTGAAATCTTTTTTCCCCTCTCCTTCTTGGGTTTTCAATACAAACAAAAAAAACCCAAACCAAACCCCAAACAATGAGAAACTGGCATAAGCTCTAAAATGAAAGGAAGTAACTTGACTCTCACATGTAGTAATTCTGCTTAATCTTTGTTTGTGTAAGCTCTTTACCAAAGAAAAGAGAAATCAAAAGGAAATGAGTGCTGTGTAGTCTCACATCTAACAACAGCAAAGGCTCTTCCCTGTTTATTAACAGCAGAACAAAGCCACCTCTTGGGTGGAAGACTTGGTAACATCACTCCTGCTTTTGTCACGTCAGAGAACCACAACGGTCCTACACACTAATCAGCTTGATAACAAGAACACTACCTCAACAGGCTTTCAAAACAAGAATGGCTATTTCCAGTTGGTTTACAGAAATTCAACCTGACCTTCCGAGTTATTAAGATGTTAAAACTAGCCAACACATGAATAATTAAGGAAACCCCTCTGCTTGTAGGGCAAGAAAACCCCAAGAGGAGAAACATGACTTACACAGTATGTTGCTCATCATAGACCTCAACTTGGAAATTTGTTCTCCTTAGTTTGCAAATACAATAAATGTGCAAAGTGACAAAAAGACACATTATAAAATATGCCTGATGAGCTTGGGATTTCTTTTTGGCACAGAGGGACATGAAAAGTTTTTTAATTGGGAAAGTTTGCAGAGACAAAGCAGGAAAATCTATCATTTGAAACTGGCCTCTTGCATGCAGAGGCAAGAGACCTCTGTTGAATTTGCTATCCCTGTCTTGTCTTAACTAGATTACATTTTGTTTTCTTCTATTACAAGGACTGCTGCCTGCAACAGGTATTATCTTTATTTCAAGATGTAAAATCAGTTATATAGCATTCCCGTACTTCACTAAATAGAGTGAAGAAGTTGCAGTTGCCTGAAGTGCAAATTGCAGGAGTTCCACTCCACTGGAAGTAAGAAACTATAACGCTACTTCTCTCTTTTCCTCTTTATGCTTTCCAAACCTCCTTTACGCAGACACATATATTTATTAAGAGCTACACCTAGAGATCTCTTCTAGAAATTGCATGTTCAAATCTAACACCACACATTTGAGTACTTCTTGGCTTTTACTAAGCTAGTATTTTTCCTAGAGCAACATCTTGCAATATCAACATATGATTGTACTTATTAGCACAAATTTAATACATGAAAAACAAGTTACTAAACTAAAGATGAACACTCTCTGTAGACATACACACAAAATTATCACTAAGTATTGATTTATTTTTAGATATTAATAGCCCCCTGCACCTTACGCAGAAGAAAAGGCAGTCTCTGAGGTGGAGCAGAACACACTGTTATGCTAAACTGACGACACACAGATCACATATTCCCAATTGGGGATTTAAGCACAGAGGCAGAAACCGAAACATGATGATGACGACTGTGGAGCTGAGACATGTTTAAATCAGAACTGTTACGGGTCTAGTTGGCACAACAGCTCAGTAGTAGGCCCCTAGACAAAGTATCTAAAAATCTCAACTTCTCTGTAACTCTCCTTGCTGCCCATGCTCAAACAAGAGTAGTCAAAAAAATCCACTCTTAAAGCTACACGTAAGAGAAGTAAAGCTCCCCATATCTACTTGAGAAAACCAACTTACCAACAAAAGCCACTTCTCTGTTCTTGTTCTAATCTAAGGGGTCTCTAAAAAATTTTTCAGATCAAAAGGAGATTAAGGAAAAAAAAAAAACCTTTCCCAAGACAGCTTTTAACAAGAAATCAGTAACTTTCCTCATCTGTTCATTTATGTAAAGTGTGATTGGGATCAACTAAATACATAAAATCAAAACACGTGAAGTTTCTTTTGTTTGCAAAGCTTACAACTGGGTTTCATAAAACCAAGAGTCAGTAAGACTCTTGCCAAATTGGACACTTGAACTGATAGCATTTTCCATCCAACCTACAGAAGAAGGATTTTAAGGAATTTAGCACAGCCCGAACTACAACATGTAGCAGATTCTACTACTTCTGTGGAATTAATTGAGTCAAATTGTGTCAGATTACAGCCTGCTACACTGTCGACTTCAAAAGATCCTCTTCTAAAAGATCTAATATGATCCTCTAGAGGAGCATTCCGTCCCCGTCAACATGCTTTTTATATGAATTTCAATTTTATTTTAACTTCAGACATAATTTTCTAATTCCAAGTCCACAGAATTTAGATGCTAAACATTTTCCAGAGACTCTCCTATTCTGTTTTCCATTAGGATATTCCATATCTGCAACTGCAAATATTTGAATGTAGGAATATCTCATCAGTTGCAGATTTAGCAACTCTTCTCCCTAACTGCCAAAACAAAACCACTGGTTTCCCAGGCCCTGAACAGTCACTTTTCACTCAGGCTTTTCAATGAACAGAAGTATTTAAATTCCAATTGAGTTTATACCGCCACACTGCTCAAATGCTAGTTTATACTTCCTAGTTGATATAGCAAATATTTTTCTTGCATTGCTGGCAGAAGTTTTTATGTGGGTTTTTTGGGGTTTTTTTTAGTATGAATATGCATGAATTTACCTTGGCCTTTTCTGATGTTCGTTTTCCACCAAATCCTCCAGCTCCAACGAAAAATAAAGAGAACTGATTATAACACACTAGGTCCTTTCCACAATAGGTATTCACTGAAAGACAGCAAAGAGGAAAGTCTTATATTGTCTTTGATCTCCTTTTTCATATAGCTAGCATGTGTTGTTACAAGATAAAAGTTCTGCTTCAAACAGGACAAAGCTCATTGTAACAACTGAAGGGACAATGGTCACACTTTCATGTTGCACTGTTGCAAGTCATTTCCTGACTAGTGAAGACTAATGATCTGTTTCAAATAACATTATCATTAATTTTATCTATATGAAAGCATTAACATTACCAAAAAAAGCTGTAAAAATGCTGATAATATTCAAGGTGCTAACCATATTTGACAACAGAGTGCTGAAATTAGTATTTATTACAGCATCTCACAATGTATTAGCAATTTTTTTAAATATGATAGAACTGTGCCATAAAATATGATGTATTAGAAGCTATTAAGAATCCCTAGCGTGTAATGCGTATCACCAACTAATACAAAAAGTACTAGTACCTTGTATAAAAAGAGCTCCAGAGCAAGCTTTAGTTTTAAGGCCACCTGTCCCTTCTTTTGAAGAAGTTAAACTTACACTAAATCAAGATTCAGCTTCCCATTTCCAGTTCATGCCTATTCCACTCCCTTACACTTTAGACTGAAATTTACAGTTTTGTTAGTAATGTTCATGTCCAGTTCTGGAAGAAATTTCAAAAACACTAAGACTCTGTTCAAAAAAGAACTTTTGCATATTGTAGAAACAGACAGGCTTAACGTTACCCCCAGCATGGAAGCAAAAACAGCTAGGAAGAACAAAGGGACAGTAGAAGCCTTTTTATAATTTTATCTGTACACTGAAGAAATAAAAGTTCAAGAGTGTTTAGAGATTCACTTCCTGCTAACCTACTCTTGCAGTCTAATTTCCCAATGGACCTTGGTATAACCCCACCTAAAGACATTAAAATTCTGAAAACGAAAACTTATCAATTTCTGGAGACATTCTGATCCTTTAACATGGATACAAGAGGAAGGAAATGGGGTTTGGCTTTCTTTTGTTTAGAAAACAAAGTTGACATAAAAAAAGAACACAGTACATGCTCTTAAAGACGGCTGTTTTGCAGATGAGTCTACACAACATACACATATGACTAACCTTCGCAAAACCACCCCACAAAACACACTCACACATGCGCACACACACCCCCCTTGTTGAAGGGTGGCAGAATCTAAAATGGCTACCTTCAGATAGGACTAAGTGTTATTTTTAAAGAACTTCCTTCAGTTTGCACAGTGCACCACTACACCTACATAGGAAAAAAAATCAAAGCTTCTCTGAAATCTTTTTCCAAAGAGAGTGTTCTTACTTCGGTATGTTAACTGCCCAAGAACAATTTCACTATATGTTGACACAACTACTGCTAATTAGCTCATTTCTCAGCTCTCATTGAAATTTGATAAGCTAGCAGTTACTGGTACAGCTAGTTAAAAACTGAGCACGTAAAATTGTACTGCAACCCGTCCAAAAGTTATAAACCTTCTTACCATCTATAAGCAACACTGCTCCTGATCCTTTGTCAAGAATATCAGCAACAGTTGAAACTGAAGTTAATTGCCCTGTAAGAAAACAACAACACGTACATGTTGTAAGGTTTTGCTTCAGCAATGAAGTCCACAGATCACTTTTACACTTCCTTACTAACAATTACAATAATGGTAATAATAATCATAGTAATAACAATCATCATTATTATAACAAAAGCGTCTGGGAATCTGTAAAGCTTGGTTTGCAGGTGTGAGGATTTTTTTTTTTTTGGGGAGTGCTTAATAGAATCTTGCTAGAGCTTATGTATTCAGAGCTAAACAAAAATCATGTTTCAGACTCAAACACGTTGCTAACTTCAAAGACAGCTCCAATCACTTAAGGATTGTCTACAAATTTCAAGAGGGCTGAGACAACTACAGTTCTACAGAGAGAAGCTCAGTTCAGGTTTACATGGGTTTACGAAGTTTGTCTCTAGAGAGATATGTAACCATATGTTTACATAATCAGCCTATGGAATGGGAAAAATAAAAAGCTTTATGATGTCCTGGCAATCTATTATTAATTATCAGACTTCTTTGAAGTTAATATAACTCTCACACATCTCCTTTTTGTTTCAACAAGATATTACGCCACTTATCTGTGGCTTGCAAGATACTTTTTTTCGTCTCTCTACACTCTGGAAAAGTTAATTTTTAGAACCTACTAATGAAGAAACCCAGACACATTCATGCATATCCTGAATGAGACTAATGAGCCCCTCTCAACTTTTGTAATCTGGGAAAACAAAGCCATCTGTGTTTTGCACAGCTTGCTATTGCACAGTAACTAATATCTTGAGAATTCTGACAGGCAGAAAACAAATTGGTTTTTAGTCTCCTCA